GTAAATTTCTAGCGAGTATGTTATCGAATGGGGCTATTTATAGATGACGCTGACCTACCTGCAGTTTCTCCGTCGCTCGGGGTGGATTCTTCTGGCCCGAATAGACGGAATTGGATAAATCACACTTACAGATAGACAAGCGAATAAATTTTTTCTCAGTCTTCAAGGTGCACAGAATGATAGGGTGAAAGGAGAATTCAGGATTTTCGTTCATTTTCCCTGCAATTAATTCTCAAGGAAAAGTTTGGAGCAGTTTCATTACTCGATGCCCTTAAAGGTGCTCCCCGAGCTCATGGCGGTTTACGATGATGGGACAAATTTCGCCAAAGACGGAGTCGTTTTTCGAGACGACCCGCAGCTCGCAAATTTTCGTCTTTAAGCGACATCGACAGTCGGGCGCGGCAATTTTCTCTTTTTCCCCTGTTGGAGGCAGTCGCGAGCCGGCTCGCTAAAAGCAAAACTTTTCCCATTTAACTGGTACCACCTCTCGCCGGCTCAAGAGGAACGTAACGCCGTGAAATTTATAGGAAAGAGTCGCGAGCCTGATTTTTCGAGATAATAACTTTTTTTCCTTCTCGCGCCACAAAGATCACGGCTCTTCTATCGTTCCCAATTTTTGGACTTTCGTTCGAAATAATCCCGTTCGAGTAGAATCAACGACGATTAATTTTAAAGAGATAACCAGACAATCGGAAGAGATGTGCTTGTTAACACGTTCACTGTCAGACTGATACTCTTGAAAATTTCTACTGCGATTTAATTTTGTTTACAGACTTTTGGAAACTGCTTAATGAAATATTTATTTTGGTATTTAGTTCTGTAACTTCGTCAAAATTCAAGTATTTCATTTAAATTCATTTTCTATGACACTTAACTTTCGGAATTAATTTTCGTAGTTTTTCAGTGAAGATCACTGTCACCCATACATGGGTGACGTGGCTATCAACGTGTTAAGGAATATTCAGAAACCGAAGCTTAAAAAAATTACACCGTCCGGTACTCCGAAGCTCTTACCATAAAAATGCAAAGTCGATTCGAAGCGAGATCGCAGCTCGCGTTCAAAGTCCCCGGTATTTTTATAATTCCCAAACCTCGTTCCGCCGTGCCTCCGATTCCGCGTCGCGATTTCGCGAAAGACTCGCGAAACTTTCTAATTAGAGCGATAATTGCGTCGTTCGAATAATCCCGAACGCCGAAACGGAAGACAAAAGTCTCCGCGGCGGCGACGGCGAGGCTATTAAAACGATGTCGGGAAGGAACTGTCGCGAAATAACTTTCATTACAGAATCAAGTATGGAGAAACTTGGTAATCCCGCGTAAACAGAGGGTTAAGGGTCGCGCTCCGTCGAGAGAAAGGAGGACGGAGGGGTGGTAGGAGGAGGGGGAGCGCGCGAGAGAGAGAGAGAGAGAGAGA